AATGTTTATTTCAGTTCACTTTTGAGATTTGTTCTTTCAGACAAATTCAGACTCCCGGCCCCGTTCCAAAGTATTAGAGGACATGAGTTTTATCAAATATTTGTCTGGAAAGCGAAAGTGCACATTAGGACATCTAAATAGCAATTTGAAGGTTAAAGTAGAGCCGTTTGGTTATATGAATGACTATTTTGATGAAATTCATTTCCCCATACATTTCTAAGGAGAACCACGGGTCCAAATTCACCAAAAACAACCCAAAAAATTAAAGCTTACATATATCGACTCAGATTTTTATGCTGATTTCAAATGCTACACTTTTCTCGCGTTAAATGAGGTTTTTCTAATGGAAAACCACAGATTACTAGTTGAAAAATAGATAAATTGACTTAGAAGTATAGTGTTTTCAGCAAAAATACTTGACTAGTTATCGAATTGCATACCTATACATAGCAACTCACGTTCATGCCCACGCCTACACACATCCAGAAGAGATAGCAGTGCTTATATAAAATAGTGAATCACACAATCTCGAGGTAATGAGATATTTGTGACCACTGCTTTTATTAAACTCACACCCACATCTGTAGCTCGAAATGTATTCAGCAATATTCTTTTTCTTCAGAAATAATATATGTCTGGAGGTGATACATCCACAGAAACACGACCTTTAGTCGTTATCAGCTATTCACATGCTGACCGTGAATTTTGCGACCGTGTGAAACAGGCGCTCAAAGACGATAGGTTTCGCATCTGGACTGACGTAGACATGAATAACTCTTTGGATCCATGGGAAGCAATTGGCTCTGCTATTGAGACAGCTGCCATCATCGTTACTTTGATATCGAAGAACTATGCCGACTCTAAATCATGTCGTCAGGAATTCATATATGCTTGTGACAGCCTGAAAAAGTCTATGCTACTGATATTCTTTGAAGATTATCAGCCTATGGGATGGATACAAGTACGCGTAGCGGGCAGACGCTATATTCGATGGCGAAACAAAAAAACTTTCGAAAGTTTTATCGCCGAAATAAAGCAACATATTCTTGATTATTCTGCACAATTTCAAACATCACCCTCGCTCGTTTTCGATGATGGCTTGTTGGTGGCATTAGACAATATTATTTCATTTCTTGCAAAGAAACAAGAGCTTTCGAAAACAGATGTTGATCAAGTTTGTCAGACTCTATCCAGACAAATTGAATCGACTTTAAAAGTCATATCTGACGCAAAGACATTGCTGAGCATGGCTGTGCAAGTATTCGCGAAGTACACCATTATTATTGGAGAAGAATATAGTCGCTTATTTGATCTCATTCAACGTATCGATTCTATGATCATGCCATTTCTGCAGCATGCAATGGACGTGAATGCTATTCGTGTTGCATTTGAAGAAGATCCAAAATGGGCTCGTGACATATTTTTTCTACTCTTCATGGAATTGATCAAATTTCCTACGATTACCTATTTTCTAAGTCCGACATTTAATAAAGAAAGCAATACTCTCGCACAAATTTTTTTATGGGGAGTTCGTCTTATGAGCATCGCATGTGAACGACCAATATTCGACAATGAACAGGATGCAGTAGAAAAATTTCGAAAGCAAAGTGTTACTTTACAAATGTGGCTTAAATATATTGATCAAAATTTTGATGAATCAAGTGTAATTTTAAAACTGATGTTCTTGATAATTGAAGAGTTGCTCAAAAATGTGGACTTAGTTCCAATTTTTGTGGATATACTATTCCCACAAACAATTTTCAATTGGATTAATGTAAGAAGTTCAAATATTTATGTAAAGAAGAAAAAAAGCATTATAATGTTGATAGCTAATATAGCTCGACATGACGCCGGTGTCGAAGTCTTGAATAAGCTAGGAGCCATAGACATACTGAAAAACATTCAAGATGAAATGCGTGTAGACAAAAAATTGTCTCGTATTTCACTCGTGTTCGATATAACTTTTGCTTTGCTGTATGAACCAGGAATGATTAGTGCCGAAACCGTGAAAATTGATGATATTCTGAAACAGTTGCTAGAAAATGCTTTGAAAGCTTCGAGGTCGCCGGGATTGACATATAATAGATACCAGCTATCCGAACTTCTTGTTGTGCTCAACAAACTGTTTGTTAATGAGACTCTTATTGAATTTATGGTGAAACAAACTGTTGAAAACCAGTATGTAGGTGCTCGTTTTTTTCCAGATATGCTGTTGAATATATCTGACCTCGGTCTACTCAATGAAACATTATTACTCAACATTATTAGCCGACTAACATCCGTAGATGAATTAAAAAATGATCTCAAGCAATATGGTCCCCTAATTAAGAAGCTCGAATCGTACACTGATCAAACAAGCAAAATAATCTATTTACCAAAACATGTGACAAATGCTATGGGTGCAGTGAAAGGAATTCTGCGAAATTTAGACAAAATCGATAGAACTTCGATGAATACAAACAAACCTAAGTCTGAAAAATCATTTCCTGAGTCAAGTTTAACTAAGAAGAAGATAATGATCAGTTACAGTCATTCTAACAGTGGATTGTGTACAGCACTTACCGATATGTTAGCGAAAGATCACAGAATCAGTATTTGGACAGACTTTCTTAGTAGCAAAGAAACTTTTTCCAAGTCGGATGGTGCCGATGTTTGGGACGACATTGCTTGTGCTATGGAGAATGCTGATCTGGTGCTTTGTATCATAACGCAAGACTACTTCTGGAGTACGTCATGCAGGGATGAACTGGTCTACGCAGTGGATAATCTTAAATTAAAAAAAAAAGGACGGCTTATTCCTATTCGTGTCGGCAAAGAATTCGAACCATCGCAATGGTTGGGTATTCGTTTGAGTGGTATTCATTACGAACGATTCGATAATTACAAAGGATTCAATGAAGGGAAGGAGCCTCCTTATAGCATGGACAGCAAAGACAACAAGTCGGTTCGAAAGCTTATTGGAAGAATTTTAGACGCTCGGGAAGAAAAACCAATGCACGCTGATTCTCATCATCAGAGCAAATTTGAGGACAAATCGTCTCCTAAACGGTTGCTTACTGATTTTGAGAACGTCAACGAGGAGTCAGAACTCCCTCTTTCTCCTCAAACACCGGTCCTTGAATGGACGAAAAACGAAATTTTACAGTGGTTTCAAAGCAATGGAATCTCACCGAAACTTTATAACGTATATCCATTCCACAACGGAGCTCAACTGTTATGTTACGCTCGTGATTTTCTATCGAAAGAAGAACTTGAATACGCAGATATGAAAGATATAATTTATGATAAATATCAGCAAAAACTATATCGAAAAGATTTCGTGCCACTCAAGGAAGCATTCTATCGTTTATTGGCATCAACGACAGACAAAAGCATGATAGATCAAACCAAAGTCGTGTCTGTGTCGAACTCGAAGTCTTGTTCGATAATGTAGTTCATCATGAGTGTATGTCGCATACACTTTCCAGTTTATCTAACTTTAATAGATAATAATACCGCTTTTAAACGAGCTAATAATGCATCCATCAGCTTTTTACAGTGTGGGTGTGGGTGTATACACTGAAAAAAAAATTGTTTCAGACGAAATCGTTAAAGTTCAGTAGTATTTTGTGATATTCTGAAATTGTTCGTACGCGCCTACGAAATCTTTCAAAGGTTCGGTAACAAAAAAAAAAGATGTGGGTGTGTTAGCATATAATGATTTCGAAAAATCATATCAAAAGCTATCACGACGCGTTTCGACTATTGCTTTGATAGTCTCATCAGGTGGCTTAGAAAAAACTCTCTAAGTCGATTGAGAGAGAATAAAATTTTTGACAAAAAATCAAAAATATATAATTCTCTTAATCAATTCGAGATATAATTACACTGTTCTACTACTAATAAATAGTAGAATGGTAATTTTTTGAACCTGTTCGAGATCGAACTCGAAAAAGAAACAGGGTGTGTAGAAAGCTACCACGACGCGTTTCGATTACTGCTAAAGTAATCTTTATTAATTGCTGATGATATATAGTTGTTAACTTAAATAGTTAAATTCTCCTACTAAGTTATACTAAAGTGAGAAGTTCTAAGAGTAAGAACTCCTCTTCAAATAGTATAAACCTAATGTATTATTATCAAGAAAGTTTTCAATCAAAAACTTCCGATAATAAGATAACAGATTCTCCAACTAAATGGGTGTATGTTTTGCTAGAAATTTTCATAAGTTTACAATCAAATTTATAGCAGATGATTATATACTATGTTGGAGAATATTGTAAGTTATATATTATCAAATGCTCTTTGTTTCAGTGAAGGGTGACTTTCATTGTGTGTTGCTTGTTTGTGATACTCATTTCTGATGTCTAGTTAGTGTCTAAGTGTTAGTATATGTATAAGTACATTTCTGTATCAGGGATATCGAGTTTCGATTTTTCTTTGTAGGCATTTGTCGAAGTTTCAACTTGTGTAATGGAATTAGAAGTTGAAGGATTCTGTGACAGTGGAGTTATATGAACTAAAATTTAATATAGATAGTGTAAGAAAAAGTGTTCATGTAACTTACAGAATGATTTCGTCTTTTTAGCTATCTGGGATGGTTTGTCTGTCGTGTTGTTCTTCTTTTTTTATTCATGTGTTCTGCTGAATATATATCTAAAACTAGAGAAAATTCACTAAATGTATGTGAATGGAGAAATGAAGGAGATAAGTTCGCGTTGATGTTTGTTGTGTTTTCATTTATTTAGGAGGCAGTGTTCATAGAACAAAAGGAAATATGTTTACATAAATTCAAGTAAGATAGAGATGTGTCATATGTGTGTGGATGGGTTAGAAGCAGTTGGCATTCTTTGTTTGTATTGTTTAGGAAATTTTCTCATAATTGCATAGTATTACAATTAGTGGTTGACTGCAGTTGTATGAGTGGGTTGGTTGCTAATTATTGATACGATTTGGTTGGTCGTCTGACTTGTGAAAATATTCCTTTGGACCTATTGTTTAGCGGAAAATGATGTTTACTATCATATGAATTCTGTTGGATGAAATGAGAATGTGTGCTTACCCATTCGATAGATTATGGCATGCTCTTTCCAGAACTTTGCTTCACGTTCCTCTTCATAAGTAATTGGTGGACGCCCTAGTTGTCCTTCATGTAGGCTTTGGTTAAGAAGTACAATAGCTGGTTGCGTACAATTGATCTCTATGAATACTCCTATTTCATGTTGTACCTAAATTATTTTATGAAGAAATAGTGTTAAGGGTAAGTTGACATTGAAGTAGAAATAATCAAAAAGATCTGTCACATACATTAAAATATCCATATTGTGCCAATATATGTTTCTTGTTCGGAAATCGTTTTTCTTCGAATTCATCCCAGCCAATATTGTCGAAGATGGAATACGATGTAAAATTTTTCCAAATATCTAATTGCCATTGTCCATCAAAATAATTATAATAACCTGGTAGAGATTTAGCGAAGCTAGTTTTTCCAGTACCAGATGGTCCAATTAAAATTAAACATTTGGCACCTGATGTGCGACGTAATTCATGTTTGACCCATCGATTGACTACTCTACCTAAATTATAATTAAAAATGGAATAATATAAGAAATAGAAAATTTTATATTGAATAATTCATTTTATTTTCGTTGTTTTTTTTTCACATACGTAATGCAGGTGTACAATCCGGAAATGATTCAGGTCAGTCATGTGTTTTGAAAATAAGGTGTTTCAATCGATTCCTTTTTGTCTTCTTGTTCTCGTACAAATATATGATTCAATTCTTTTAAATAACTAATAACAAGAAAATAATACAAAAGAAAGGATAGAATATATTTCAATTATACGAACTTGATGCGATTTTTTGAAAAATCCAATGGCATACCATATCGTATCGTGGCCATAGCTGCACTAATATTTGTTCGTGCTAATTCCGCTGCTCCGACTAAAATGAACTCTTCTGGTGTTTCCGGAATGAAGTCGTCGTTCATATTGTTGAACATTATTCTATGTGTTGAAGTTGAATTGTAAATAAGTTTTAGTATCTAAAAGAGAAAAAAAAATATAGTGATGAAACATGAAATAGGAATAAAGTAACCAACGAAACAGTGATATGTTGAAGTTTTAGATAAACAGTTACAAAGCAAGGACATATACAAAAAAAAAAGATAAAGAGAAAATATGAACTGCAAGAATATACAAGTTCATAGTTAAGTAAAAAATGAACAAGAAGACAAAAAGGAATCGATTGAAACACCTTATTTTCAAAACACATGACTGACCTGAATCATTTCC